ACGCGCGCGCGCGCGCGCGCACATACAGACACACACACTTACACACAAACGCAAAGAGAGAGAGAGACAGAGAGAGAGACAGAGAGAGAGACAGAGAGACAGAGAGACAGAGAGACAGAGAGAAAAGCGGTAGGACTACTACTAATTAAAAAACCCTGATCCCTTCCCCCCTCCCACCAACTGTAAACTGGTCGGTTTCATAGAATCTTTGACTTTGTTCATAAAGCAAGGCGTTTTGCGTGTAATAACTGGCCTCTGTGGTGAAACCGTAACAGTTAGGCCCTTGACTGGCGCATGCAGGAGACCCGAGTTCAATTCCAGAGTACAGAACAAATTTGTTCATTATAAAAAGCGTCTCGGTCTTTCAGCTGGGATGTTGTATCCCTTTCAGCCCTGGTTGACTATGACAGACAAGACCGGAAGCCCGCCTCCTGTCTGATCTAAACTGTGTCGATGGGGGTGTAAAAAAGAACATCTACATTTCGTCACTCCGCTAGCAAAATGACGTTATAACTCAGAGTTTGCCAAAATAAAACTAGCATTTTATTTGTTTGTTGGTACAACAATATCTATATTTTGATTAAACCAAAATGAAAATGCGCTGGCAGTCACAAAATAAACTTGCAATGCTAGTTTTACCATTTGATCAATTAGATGATAAAATAGTCTGAGAGATAAACAGTTTTTCTTTTCCCATTTATCTCAAAAGTAGCTAAACTTAAAATGAGATCAAGTGCCATCTTGCTAGTGCTGTGAAGTTTTAAAAAACACACCGCGTAATAGCAAAGGGAGCTATGCTTCAAATAATTGTTGTCTGATCCGTCACCACGTATTTGTGAATGTGATCTGAAGTTTGGGGGTTGGAATTCCACCATTTTATTTTTCCTTTTTTCTGCTTTTTTTCTCGTGGAGAGGTTTCTTTTTGCCTATATTTTTATTAACACCCGACGAGTAAACATGACGAAAAAAGAAAGTGCTGATGAAGTTTCCAGAAGGAAGAAGTGAACTGGCTCTGTGTTTGCGATTTTTTAAAGAAAAAAGTGTCTGGAACGAGAGGGGAGTGGGTGAACAGGGAATGTTAATAGGGGGTAAGGGATGGTAGATGGATGGAGAGAGGGGGTGGAGGGTATACGATCTCCTTAAAAAGAAGAGTAGGAATCCGTGACACAAAGCAAGCAAACCTCTCAATGCGCCAACTATTTATGTTGCAATTATTTCCCACTCAGCACCACATCTGTCCGAGAATGGCTACACCCTGTGGTAAATTACCTCTATATTGGCTTGTCTCTGACTTGATTTAGTGATCGGGCATCGATTTCCACCCCGATAAGGCCTCGTTGGCGCTGCCAAAAGTTAATGATCACCCTGCCGATAAAGGATATTTAAGACAAAACAAAGAAACACTCGACGCAGGCGATGCTAGATCATTCGCTAAAGAAGACAATTGGTTGAGAAAACAATGTGCTTCGCCGCCCGTGTTTTACCCAATTCAATGTGCGGCGATGCGCAGAAGTGGAAGTAGGAAGGGAAATAATTTTTGAAGGCAGGGGGTTGAGTGGGG